TCAAAGGTGCTTCGGTAGCCCACATCCGAGATTTAAAAAATTTATATCAGCTACTTTTGCTGCTAAAATCAGCCGCTTAATTATACAGAGTATTAAAGACTTAAAGTATAATTTATAGTTAAAGATGATTATTATTATTATTATTATTATTATTATTATTATTATTATAATAATTGTTGTTATTATTGTAAGTAAAAAGATCGAGATGAGATGAGATGAGATGAAATATTTGTTCGACGAGTTCATTAGACTAACTGATAGGGTTATTGTGTTATTGTGTTAGTAAAGCCGGCTTGCTCATGTTTTCGTACTCAGTGTCCCTGCTACCTGTATTCCGCCTCGTTATTTATCACACAGCAGCCAGTAGCAACTGAATTACGACTCACAGTTTCTCTTTCTTTATTTACTTTTTTTACATGTCAAATTCTTTTTCTTCGCTCTGGGCGTATTTGTATGTTACATCCAGGAGTTTTCGCTTCGTTTTATTCCTCCTATACCATCCTCGCCGTCGTTATTATACACATATATTAATATTATAATACTCCGAGTCAACCGGGATTATGTTTGTGATAAATGATCACTAAATGATAATTACTGCCTAATATCCACGATAAATTTTACTTTCGTACAATAACCAACGTATGGTAGCTAAAATTTAACAAAAAAAAAATTAAAAACATCATTTTTTAAGCTCAAAATTGAGAAATTTACTTGATTTGAAAAAAGGAATTTTGAACTAAATTATTTACAATTTTTTTTAATATAAAACATTGCAAGCATTTAAAATAATGCTCTTGGTTTAAAATTCTTTATTTTAAATCAAATTAATTTTTTTCAACTACTAAAATAAATAAATTCTTGATATTTATTTACTTTCACAGTCTACTGATTTTGTTTAGAATAAAAAATCAAAAAATTAATATTTAAAAAAATTTTTTTAATGAAAATTAGTAAAAATAAATTTTTTAATTATTTTTAAAGCTTGAAATGTTAAAAAAATAAAAATCTAGAATTTTTTTTCCTTACTTTACTTTTTAAAAAAATAATAAAAACTTGAAAAATGTCAATTTTTTTAATTTTCATTAAAAAAAAAATTTTTATGGAAGAATTGACATTTTTTAAAATTATTTTATTTTTTGATGAACTAAAAAAAATATATGATAGTTAAAAAAAAATTCTTAATATTATTTTTATGAACTAAAGTATGATAGACCGCGAAACTAAACAACAATAAAATTCTTTTATCAGCGTATCATAATAATTAATAAAAACTGCATGAGGTTATTTACAGGCAGGTAAAATTTTTTTGATATTATTTAAATTAGATGCATAAATTTTATTCCAACGTCACAATTATTGTCACACTCACGCGGTGAATAAATAAATAATGGTGATAAAAAAAATTTAAACGCGTGACAAGATACACAGAAGACGCTCAACTTGAAGAAAAGAAGTATACAAATGTGTGTATACATTGAAATATATTTTTAGAAACCACTCGAGTTAGTGTGTTGTGTGTTTGCAACTCTTGAGGAATAATAAGACACGAACTGCGAAGAGCGGAGAGCGAAGAGTATAATATAATAAGAATATAAGCATAAAAAGTACAAAAGCTGAGGCAAAAAGATAAAAAATGAATTATATTAAATTTGTTGGACATGATATCAGGCAGCGAAGCTAAAGTTGAAGGTGTCCGTCGAGTTGTACCCATGCAAACAAACTTTTGGAACGGCAAATAGCGATACACTACCACAAAATGCCACATAACTGTCGACTGGTTAATAAATCATTTTGTTCTCACTACACGGTTCCTCGTAAATAACCCGCTAAACAATACCCGTCAGAGTAAAACAATAATATATTTCTTGATGTCTATGTGACAGTTTAAAGAAACTCGCTATCATCATACTGAAATAGGCTCCATTAATTTGGTATGCTAAGTTAAATATTTTATGGCCAAATTCCTCATAAAAATAACTATAAATTTAAAAACCGGAGTTCAATAAATTTTTAGCTTGTTCTGGTGCAAGACTTTGATAATGTTTATTTAGAATTCTCATTTTTATTGTTTAATGTAAATTCATTTTGGATCTACAATTTTATTTCGAGTCGAAGGTTAATTAGTCGCTAGGAATATGCGATTATTAACAAATAAAATATTTATTACTAGTTAATAAAAATTTTTATAACAAAATTAACAATTCTATTACGGTTTTGTTATTGAAATTTTATTGTGAAATCCCGAAAAGATTTATTGCAAATAGAATTTGGTAGTTAATATAATTTTATTCTGAATAATAACATAAAAATTGGAATTACTAATGATTTTTGTGGTAACACTGTGAAAAATCGCTTAGAATTTTTAATCCGCATTCACGGTAGCTGGAATTTCCGGAAGCTTTAATCCGGTCTGGATTTAGTACATAATTTTAGAATATGAATAGAGTCTTTACAAATCTATTATACAATTTTACGAAATGGCGATCTATAAAAAATTTCAATCGCATCCAAATATACTTATTACTTATTAAACACTAAATTTATGTTTCCTCAATTGAAATTAAAATATTTCAACAAGTTTTACTAACAATATTAACAATCCCTACATTTTTTTACATGGTAACAATTATTATAATAATAAATAAAATTACGGGTATTTAAAATAAATATTTTTTATAATTTTATTTAGTAAATTTTCATTATACTTTGCTAATTATTAACAATAAAATTTATTTATTCATTATTGTATTTTTCAGAGCTCAATACTATTTTAATATAATTATAATTATTTTTTAACTCAATTTCTCATCAAAATCCATTAAAACTTAATCCAAAAACTGTAACTATTTTAATTTTGTGTTAAAAATACCTATGTTAAATATTTAACACTTTTTTGTGTTGATTTAACAGAATAAATGTTAAATTTACGCATAAAAGTGTTAAATATTTAACATAAAAATTTTTAACACTAAGTTTTTTGACGCAATGACGCAAAATTTTTTCCCGTATAAATTTCAACTCACCTGGCAATAGAAATGTCTAATTTTCAAAAAAAAAAAATTCCCTCGAAAATAAAATAATTATTCAAATTTATTCAAACAGAACTATCCAGCCGTTGATTGAATTAATATTTGTAAAATGAATTGATCGTGAGCATCACAGGTAGTTAATATAAAAAATTTTATTATTATTGGCTGGTAGCTGAAGTATCATCATAAAATTAGCTTAAATTATTTTATTATTTTATTGAAATTACCAGCAGTAAGACATTAGTATGATATAGGTAGCCATCGCTGTGAAATATATGGGATATTCCACGCATCAGCTGCTTCTTTTCCATCCTATAATCGCTTGTGGTGCATCGTAACGTAATTAGCCATACACGTACATAATACCACACCGCTGGCGAGCACCCCCATGTCTAATTTCGGTCGCAATCGAGCCAACTATACATCTGTAGGATATTTACGCGATCGGGGGCGGCAACGTTTGTGATGAAAACGGCAACTTGAATAAAAAAACACCATGTATGTATATAGACCCCCATGGAGCGTCGATTGTATCCAGGTGGTTCGGTACGTTACAAATGCTATGCCATCCTCGTTCTAATCGACTTCCATTGAAGTATTATGTAGTCGTTGTCTCTATACTGTCTCTACTCAGCTGCCGTCTAATTTTCGAAAACTACGCGCATAGTATGTATAATAATACTACGCCGGGATTACACCGTGGCAAGCGCGTGCCGCCGATTTCGCGTGTACGTGTGGCGACACAAGTTACAGCTCGTTGCTCACACGAGTGCTAATGTGTGTGATATCATCAACGATAACAGTCTCACTCTATTTTATCGCGGTATATATCTATATAGATTTTTAAAACTAAATGTTGAATAATTGCTTACTGTACTGTATATTTACTGGCTTTTTAATTTTTATATGCGCGCTTTTGTCAACAAAAAAATATAGAATAATTATATTAATTTTTATTAATTTAAATTATGCTCAATATTAATTAATTTTTAAAAAATTAAAAATATTTTTATCAAGAATTAAATTATTAATATAAATTTAATTTTTACATGCGCGTTTTGGTTAAAAAGAAAATATATAATAATTATATTAATTAAAGTTGTTGTCTATATCAATTAATTTTTTTTAATTTAAAAATATTACTTTGAATAATTAATATGAATTTAGATTTGATTGGGTAAAATTTACAGTAATACTAAACTTAAAACTACTAATTAAAATTAAATAATACGAGTCAATAATTTTTTTTTTTACATTTATTCAATATTTAAAGAAATTTTATACAAAAAGTAGAGAAAATTAATGACTAGATTGGACAATAAATTCTACAGAAAAAATAAAAATATTTTTATAATTAGTTATACACAATAGCCGACATTGAGTAAATATTAGATATTTCTCAACACTTCATAAGTTGATGGTTATTAATTAATCGGTTAATTAGTCTTTGGAGGCGCTGTATTGTTGTTCCGTTAAAGAATCAACTTTTTTCAGGCTTCTGACGGATTTAGCGAGACAATAATTGTAATTTATAATAATAAGAATAAATTTAACAGAAAATAGATAATACATTATAGAAATAGAGCAGTCTCTGATTATTTTAAAAAATCCATTTAAACCTCCACTAATCACAATAATTATTTACACCTTATGTGAGCTAATATAATCATAATTATGCACAAAACATATTTGTCAATAAACTATTTGATTAGGTCGAATTACATTAGAGTAATTATATATATATATATATATATATTTATAAAGATATAGAGATAGAAATAAATATATAATATGTTAAGGAAGTTACTTTTCACGTTAAATAAAATGAAAAATTCAGGATCACGTTAATTAACGATTAATACCACCGCAACAAAGTTGCTATCGTTAATTATTCTCTGATGCTTATCGTTAGTATTAAATAGTAACTGTAATTATTATAATCTAATAAAAATCTTAATCTTGATTGCGAGGTTAATTTGTTGTCTTCTGAGGCTCTTGCTTCTTTATCACCTGGTTCGGGTCCACTGAAGATACTAGTGATTTTTTAGTTACGTCACAGCTTTTTCGTGATCTCCAGTAATCTGTAATATAAAAAAAAAATTTATTAGTAATCTATATTATTAAGAAAATAAGTATTTAGGCTGCGTTTGAAAATGCTCTATCTCTGGGTACATAATTAAGAAATGACCTTGTATCTCGTGAACTATTGACATTCTTAAAGGTATAAGCTCACCCCGACATTACACTCATTAAGACCTTTCATTTGAGTACCTACATCAATTTTTCATATATTTTATATATTTATATATATTATATATATGTATATATGAAAAATATATCAAAAATGCAAGTGGGTACTCAAATGAAAGCTCTTGATGAGTGTAACATCGGGATGAGCTTATATCTTTAAAAACCTCAATAGTTAAGAAAGTACAGTTCAATTTAACAAAATTCGTTATTTAATAGAACAAAATTTTATTTATTTATAGTTCATAAGTCACGGCAGTCACATTGTGACTGCAAGGTTGCTAGTTTATATTAAAATCAAAATCAAATTTTATAAATTAATTCCGAATTTCACAATTTCAGATATGAATAACGTTATTAATAAATAAGAAGATTTATCGAAGGTTTTAAAAGAATTTAAATTGATAGAAAAAAAAATTTCCATTACAATAAAATCTAAATGCAGACTGTAACCAAAGGCCAGGTCGATCTTTGGTACAAAGTCCCTTTATCCTTCATCAGAATCGTACCCTTGTTGGTCAGGTATGGCACCTGAGTCTTTTCCTACATACTACCCTCCAGACTTTGCTTGTGTATAATAATAAATATATAAAATAGTATGTGTGTACTCTACTGTATTGAGGACAATCTCCTCTACTTCGCTCGCAAGGGGCCCCATATAGGTTACTCTTCACTCCAGGCGAGACGCGATCCCGGTTTTGCTCGCCAGACGACAGGTGAGAAAGTTCAATCCGCCTACACAATTCTCGTTTCTTTTATTCTATTTGTACGGAGCTAAACCGAGCACATGAAATATAAAGGAGCGCAAAAAAATCATAAACATTCAAAAGTACCTGAGGGTACGATATATGAATGTAAATATGAATATGTATGTGTTTATTTATATATTATGTGTGTAAGAGTAGTTTTAACCATATGTCTCCAGAAAGTGATTTCTTATTTAATGATTATGGTTTGGACTCTTACCCCCCGTGTGCATACCAAATTACCTTGTTTATAATATTAGTTTTTAAAAGTTAAATATTTCCCTGGCATGCGGTTAAGTAACGAAATCTCCTCCAGGGATTCACATCTGTTTCAGCTGCATTTAATGCTATAACCGCAGACTTTCCAACGATCATTTCTTATTATCCTTTTCTACCTGTGCAAATCTTTGGATTTACTTTCTTCATAGAGTTCAAGCTTTGTATTATTTTTTTTTATTTTGAAATTTTGATATTTAAGATTTTTTTTTATTATTTTAAATTATTTTGTTTGGAAATTTTAAAAAGTTAAAGTTTAAATTAAAAAAAAAAATCTTGTAATTTTTTTTTTAATTTCAAATTTATTAAAGTAGATGTTAACATTAAAATTTTTTAGTCTAAAAAAATTTACAACTTTTTCAGACAAAAAAAATTAACAATTCTTTGAATTAAAATAAAAATCAATTTTTTCATCTGTTAGATATTTTATAAAACCAAAAATTTTTTCAATAAAAAATTTGATGAATATCTGGCACACTTCAAAAATCAAAAAGAATCTTTAGAAAAAATACTTGATGATTCAGAAGAAAAAAAAAACGTCAAAGATGTATCACAAGATAAAAAAATAATCTTAAATTTGAAGAATGATCTCAAACAAGTACCCAGCATCTGATTTTTGACATAAGAAGTGCATCCTAACAAAGAAAGAAAAGAAAAGATGGCACATAAAGAAATACTTGAATAAAATTTATCTGCCCGGATTATAAATGACGGTTAAGAAAATTTTCATGACTTGGTCGTTAAATTGAAATGAATTGAGAGACGCATAACGCAACAAAGAAGCCCCTGCATAATAATAATTTTATCAATAAAATAAAATGGGTGCAAATAGAATAAGAAAAATCAGGAGCAAACGACTTTTCTTTTTTCTTTTCTACGTATAACTTGTCCGATGCAGCAATACAAAATAGCAGCACGAGGAGCATCAACAACAACAACAACAAAGTCTCCTCGAACTGGAGGCAGTTTAAAAACCAGTAAAGTCTTATTCTCTACTGGAGTTTTTCTCCGGGGCATAGTTTTTTCTCCCCTGTTTCTTCTCACGATTGAATGGCAGGAGCTGGATTTTACGACCCCGTACCTGAACAGATCGGGAACAAATACTGAGGCGATGCATCGGTGGATTTTTTCTCATTTTTTAGAACCGACAACGTAAGAATAACGTATATAGATATTTATTATTATGGAAGAATATCTCTTAGAAGTGAAGGACAAAGAAACGTGTTGTCGGTGGAGAAGAACCAAGAGTCTTCCGGATGATTCGTTGCGGTCGATGACCGTTCGTGAGACTCGACTTGCATTATTCTCTTTACTCATATTATATTATATTATATTATATTATACAGTCGAGTCGCGTTATGAGCCCTCCTTGTGTCTCTCTCTTATTAACGCGAGTCTGGTTAAAAAACAAAGAAAACAAGCCGGACTCATAACGCGATTCGATTGTACTCTAGTTGCCCTGCAGCAACTAAATTTCAGCCGCTGGCTCTTTCTTCAGTTAAAATAATTTTTATTCATTTCTTCTCCAGTGAATCCGTAGCAAAACGTGTAATTTAATTTGTATCCTCCGCGATAATTGAAACAATTGGCAGGGTAATAAATGAACGCGATTTTTTCTTCGCATCTTAACAATGACTCAACACTTGAGAGTAAAAAATCAAAAGCTTCTCTCTTTACCATAATTACTTTTTAATGATGAGAATTTAAAAATGCAAATAGATGTTATCCCTCTGGATTGCATTAGCATTAGACAAAAGGAAATGTCAATACCCATCAAGAGTAACCCTTTTCAGGAGGAATTACCAAGAAGGCTGACCATTAGTTCTCCCTCGTACGCTTTAACTTTAATAATGGAAATAGTTAAGTTACAAGCGGCCTTTCCGAGGACGGGGACACTTTCTTGATGGCTGCCTCCTGAGAATCGCATTCAGCATAACTGCCGAGCTATTGCGTGTAACAGACTTAATTGTGGGAAAAATACACATATCAGTTGTACATATAAATACATACATACATACAATAATAATGATTATAACAATAACAACACTTGTAAAAAGTTAAATGAAGACTCTTTAGCATGATTTTATGGAGTTTAAAACAGGTGTCGCAAAAGGGCTAGCTCCGTATCGGTTCGCTGGTTTTTCCCGGGGATTCCCCCGGTTATAATCTTATATATTTCAACAAACATCTATTTATCTGCTGTGTTCTTTATACTTCTATCCTAATAATAAAGATGTAGATGTGAAGACGCATATTTCCGGCTGATAAATCTGATGCAATTCTTCAAATTTATATTTTAATTTTTATAAAAAATAACATTGACTCGTTGGTAAAATTTTTAAATTTCTAAAAACAATCTCAAGATCTCTTCTAATCAATTTTCACTACTATCTAATTTTTCCATTAACCATGAGCAGTAAAAGGCTGAACTCCCTTAATATAACTGAAGATACGGCATATTATCTTGTATTAACAGCAGGTATAAAGTGAAATATAAGGGCAGCGCAAAGAAAATATCCTGAACTTTGAGACCGGTACCCCCGAAATATTTGAAGACTCGCCATTTTGTAAACCAAAATTCTCTTTTACGTTTACAAACACGACCCTTTCTGTATTTACCAGCGATTATTAACGATAAGAAATATAAGATATGATCACGAGAGACACGTTGAGATACAACACCATTCTCACGATTTATTTAACGAAAGACAAGGCCATTTACTACTACAATGTATAACGATCATATATGTATATCTTTTGTTGTGTCTTACAGTTGCTGTTGCTATGTAAGAAAGAATTTATTAAATAATGACGACAAGGATTATTATAAATATATCTATAGATATGTACGTGTATATGGAATTGTGATGGTTTTATGGGGCTTTGTAAGGTTTAAAAAAAACGTCCTATCGAGTCTCTTCTCTTCTCTTGGTCACGGATGAGTTAAGAAGGATTCGAAGAACGCGATCTCTAATTCCGAGCGATGTAAAAAATGTAGTAGTGTATATATGATTCACCCGAGTCCTTTCAGGATTTCTTATTTCTTTTTTTATATTATATATTGTATTAATACATACTACCTCGGTTCGTATGTGTTAAAAAAATTTACGTGATTATATATGTGAGAGTGAGTGTACGGATAAAAAACTAGGTGGTAAGGCCGTGGCTCATGACTCATATGACCCAACTCTGATTCACCGGCACGGTAACAAGTCTAGACTCGTCCTCTTTAGTCCTCCCGAATTCTTCTTTTTAATTTTTGACTCATATAGGATTATTTGTTAATGTAACTTATTCTGTTACTTTTAACTATATTTATTATAGTATTATATTTATTATTATATGTAAATTATAAGTAAATTATAAATACTAATAATCATTAGTATTTATAAATGAATATTTAAATATAACTATATTCGTAAAAAGTAATATAAATTACATAACTTAAATATAAATAATAAAGATAAAACCCTGCTCCATAATACGGAGCACATATGTGCTCAATATGCTGGATAGTTTTTTTTTTTTAATATTGAGCGATAGTATTTTTATTTATAGTTTATAGTGTATTAATCCAAGACAGCCAATTTTAAAATTCAAACGCTATCTGTCCGATCTTATGGCCATAAATATAAGCAGAAGACGTGTCGTGCTTTTCTAGTTATACTGCGCACTTAACGATTATGGAGTGAAGATAGATATAGTGGTATAAGGGATATATGGATGTATAATATTATAGCCGAATAAAAAACATCATATTATAGTGTAGAATTATATAAGTTGGGTGATATCGAGAATAAAAATGATTCGTAGTCGAGTCGAGGCGTAAAACTAGAAGCCGAGTGGATGTGGAAGATCCAGAATAATAATGCTAAGGGTCCTAGATATGTGTATAATAAGAATGATGGACAAAGAGCCCCATACATTTTGAGATTCAGAAGAGAATATAATATAATGTAAGAAGAAGAAGAAAGTAAATAAGAAACGAGTTTAGGCCACGCGCCTTTAAGCATCTTTCTAGAGGAGTTGTCAATTTTGAGCGCTTTTTTTGCTGGTTTTATAAAATATTGCCGGGGAAATTTGGAGTTAATTGGATCAATTATTTGTATCGCAAGGCAGCTAATGAGAAAGTAAAGATTAAGAATTTTTTATTTTATAATAAATTTAATTTATTTTGTTTTTTTAATAGAAACTTTGAAGATTTATATTAGATGTATTGAATTTTTAATATGAAAAAATATGATCAATTTGAAAGTAGTCATTAAAATTTTTTTTTAGTTTTTCAATCAATTTAATTTGATGTAAATATTTTTTTATTTTAGAAATTAAAAAATTTTGAGATTTATTTTAGTTGAATTTTCAAATAAAATTAAAAAATAACTGAATGCAGTAAAATTTTTAAGAACATGAAATCATTTTTTATGTCATTAAAATTCACAAAAAATGAAATTTTTTTTTTTTTTTAAATAAAAATTAATTTTTTAAAAACATTGAAAGAACAAATTTTTATAAATAACAATTTCCAATATTTTTTTTTAATTACATTTTTTATAATTTAAACTAAATCATTATTCTGACAAAAAAAAATTTTTACCGCCCATATATTAATTTTATTAAAAAAATAACTTTTAAGCGTCTAATATTCAGGAATAATATTATATATTTAATATAATCATCAAATAAAATTTTTATTAAAAAATTTCACCAAAACACAGGTTTTATTTAAAAAATATTTAACCAAAATTAATTGACAAAATTACACCAAACAACCGAACTAAAAATACGTCCAAACAGCTATTTATATCAAGTGTAATAAAAACTAAAAAACTAACAGGCGTATCGACGCTCGACGCGTCTAGTTTTCCCGCCAAAAGTAACAACGTGGCACATGGTGACGCTTATGAATACCGCAGATTTTTCCACATCCACGCCGCCCAATCTTAAAACTCTTTTGCTTCTGTTATCGAGCCAATTAATATTTTTATTCGGCAAAAGCAGTCATAATTAATTTATTCACCACCATTGCAAAATATCCGATAAAAAAAAAATAAAGTAAATGCTAATTGATATCACACAAGTGAAAGATACCAATTCGCCGGCAATTGTATCAATATTAATATTAACATTAACATTAATTAAAAAAAAAAAATAATTTACCGTGAATACATGTTTGTCTGGAGTAAGGCGAGCTCCGATTTTTTCGTGGAGACCGCTCGAATTTTCTCTGAACATTTTCCTTGTCCTCCTGGCAAGGATCAATGCCCCATCTCCGCTCAAACTTGCTCCTCTCCATATCAAGACTCTCCTGAAGAAGCTCCACCGAGTCCTTGGGGTTTGGAGATCCGAACAAGCAGCGTGGGACGTGTGATTGCATCCTTGAGGTCAGCATATTTCCGAAATGCAATTCGCGGCAAAATGGTGCGGCCAACATATCACTTACTTTCACCGTGATAAAATACCGAGTTATCAATTAATAATAAATTTATATTATTAAAATTAATATTACAAAACTTAATTTTAAATTTTAAAAAATAAAATTTAAAATAAACAAATCGGATGAAACTTTAATAGAAACTCAAACAAAACTTGGACTTGAACTAAAATTTTTTAGAAATAGAAATAGATAAAACTTGGATTATCTTCACTCGAAGACAGTCCGACTCGATCTGGCTGATGGCGTTCTACGACGGTTAAGACCAAGTACGCTCTAAACCACGAGGTCGTCCCCACTTTGTTCTTTATAAAGTTTGAATTCTATTGGAGCGCCGAAAGTTGCGCAGTAAAATTGGCGGGAACGCTGACCAACGTTGTTAATCATTCAGTATATATAAACTGTACATATATGTACAGTATAAACACAAGCACAGACATTTTCGGAGTGGAGCACAGGTATGCCATTTTGTTGGAAGGGGAAGACTATATTATAGTTGGTCCCGGGACCAAAGAAGGAAGGTTCGATGTAAATTCAAAGGCATCGAGAATGATGAACAGCGAAATGAAATGTAAAAAGCCTCTTGTATGTGTTCTCTGGGTAGATGTATTTGTGAAGAGCTGGAGGGTATGGACGGAAAGGGAGGGAAGAAGCTACGCTTGTAGTGAATTTATTATAATTCACTAATACCAACTCTACGTACACTTTGTACTAGGATAACGAGTGGAGTAGAATAAAAAATTCGAGTAAGATGCATGTCTTTGCTTGTGAAACTCCCATCGGTATTAATCTGGTGAATGGTGGGTAGTAGTTACACTTCTCGGGTCACCTTCTTTCTTCACTTTTTACTTGGCTTCTCTGCCCCAATGCAGTGTAATGCTAAGTAAAGAGCTCCTTGCACCCCAAGATAGGAAAAGGAATAAATATAAACGATTATTCAGTGTATGTTACATTAGTCACCTGAATAAAGGCTCAACGGTTTCGTTTCTTCTGTATGTTGTATTATGTATGTATATTATATATATATATATATATATATATATATATATATATATATATATATAGGCTTGGAGAAAATTTTCCACTACTAAATCATAAGACGTCATAGTACGTCTTTTGGCTCCACTGCTATCCTGAGTAGACAAAAAACCGACACGAGTATATGAAAAGAGAGATTTATGACGCCTGTGCTTGTTTTGGCGGGAAATTATTCCTGGATGTGATCATTCGCGGCTTTTTTAGGATAAATAATTTTATTTGTTATGATTTTATAAACAAATAATTGTAAAAAAAAATTTCACATTTCGGAATTTTAAAAAACTATGGGTGTAATTTTTTAAAAATATTTTTTTGGCGCCATTAAAAGTGATCAGATGTTTATTGATGACTGTATCATTAAAATATAATAATACTGAAGTTAGCCGACGTTTTTAATTTTTTGATTATTTTTAATTTATTAAATTAAAACGAAAAAATTGCACTTATAGTTTTTTACAAATGAAAATTTTATTTTATTTTTCTGTAATAATTTTTTCAATAAAAAAAAATTCTAAAAAGTTTTAAATGTCAGCTAACTTAATTTTCATTAAAATATAAAATTATTAAACTAAAGTTTGGTTACAATTTAAAGCAACAAGAAATCTCTGGTAATTTAGCCCCAAGTAATGTAATTTACTATTCGTATTCGGGTGAAATAATAAGATTTCGGGTGAAATGATGAATGAAATACCTGGAACAACTGATGCATAAAAACAATAAAATACAAAATAAAGCTTCATTCGGGAGCTTCATGTTTATCGAGTAACTAAGGCGGATGTTCAGTTTCCGTGTTAATTTCGCCAGTTACAGTCTGATGCGCAGTTGCGAAGGGGATATATGACTCTGCTCCGATGTGTCTCTCTTTTCATTATTATTGTTGTTATTATAATATGTAACGTTATGTTTATTTACTTACACTTGGCTGTATCAGTACAATATTCGGTATTACGTTTATATATAATTTACATCCTAATTTTAAGTGATACACGATGCACTGAGTAAGAGTACAGAAGGTTAAATCCGGTCACCCGCTACCGCTTTATATTTAAACTTAAACTTGCTTTGTCATTATTTATCGTCTACATTTCACCTTCTACCTTCCACGTAATAAAATTACTTCCAGGATCTTTATTGAATAATACTGCGTCATATTTGTTATGCAACGAGGATTTAAAGAGAGATTGCGTCTTTTTCGGAGCTAATTCGTTAGATGCGCTCCGTAGGATAGGAATTGAACCCTAATAGGGCAATTTATATTTTACTAATAAGAATAAGTCATAAGTTACGAGTGGATTTAAAGTTTCTTTTCTTGTATTTATTCACACTTGGTAGGGCTTCAAGGACTATAGGGGTGGATTTACCCAGGGATTTTTTGTTGGCTATATTATACATTAATTCCTCAATGGGGGTTACTTTTGACCGTTACTGTTTTAATGAAAAGGGAAAAAGTACAAAGATATCGATGTACAAGTTCAAAATCATGCGGGTTGATGTGAAAATATACAGAAGTAAGACAGGTGGACGAAACCGTGACCAGTGGGCGTAACAATGTAGCTTGGTCATTTTTTTAACTCGTGATTGCGCTACCCCCGCGGGATTGTCGATCTAACTCTTTTAAAAGGAAATTATTCACCCTAGATAACATTACTGTCTGCATACTTATTTTAACACATGAATTTTTTTATTTCCTCAACCAACAATTTATTTTTAGTCGAAGGGTTTGAAAAATGCGAAGTGAATAAATGTAAAATTTTCTTGGGAAAAAATTAAATAATTTTGCGCTGTAAAAAATTTTTTTTTTAATATTTTTAGAGGTTTTTTTTCCATAATTATTTGAGTGTGAAATTTTTGATTTTTTCTTGATCATAATTCATTTACTAAAAAGATTATTTTTTTGTCTTGCAAATATAATGAAAGTATATAAAAATTTATTTTAATCTATATATAATACTTTTATTTTTTCAACATTTTCTCATACTTTTACTTCTTTTATATTCTAAGATATATTTTTAATATATATTTCAATAATACTAAAAATATAAATGAAAATCGGCCAAAAGTTAGTTTTTAAAAAAATATTTTTAATAAAAATTTTATATACTTTTATGTATTATTCATTTATTTTTTATATTTCAACATATATATTTTTTTCACGGTGGATTCCACTCGAAATTTATAGTACCAATAATTTGTAATTTAAAAATCCCTCCCTACCAAACAGGTAACCCATGCTGTTTGATAAAATAAATCCTTATTTGTACGTCGATAAATAGCCTCGGCTCAAAAATATTGTAAACATTTTAAAATTCCACCCACAGCTTCAGCGCTAGGTCATGAACGAAAACGAAACCGGTCTCTAAACTATATTCGTGGTTTAACAATATACAAAAAAAGGCATCTAATATAATAATACAATATATGTTAATATAAATACTCCTTACACATACATTTCCCCTAGCAATCCTCTTCTCGATTACTTCCGGTAAATTCCCCAGACCGGAACATCCAAGTTCGTGCAGGAAGACCCTCCCGAAAATCCGTACAATTTCTCCTGTGCTCTTCACGGGGGTTCTTAAAAATAAAATACACGTTAATTCCCATTAATTAAAAAAATTAATTATTTTTCTGAATTTCTATTCTCATATTTTATTCTTGTGATTAATAACAACAATAACTATCAATAAAATTGCATCGTTACAAGCTAGAACGAGCCTGTGACCACGAGAACACACCTACTTCCGGATGTGACGAATAAATGTGCACTTAAATGAATAAATGAAAGTGCAATTGCAGATACAAATCGATGCGCATTGTTGTCTACGTAATTCAGTAGGAGTAAACGCTGGAAACAATACATACATGACTCGAGTTCTCTTATTACTGCTTATGCAGTAAAATTTCGAGCGTCTTCAAGCTGAAAATCTCCTTAGCAACAGAGCGCAACTACAACAGGAAATCACAGTGCCCAATCTTGATCTGAAAAAAAAGTAAACAAATGAAATAGAATACTCAGTCAGGATTGAGGAGATTTAAAAGGCGTGAAGCTCTCGATTTAACAATATCGATTTTGCGCAAGAAAATCTACGACCGTTAGCGCGAAATTTGAAGCGGAAACGATCGACAGCTGACTCAACTTTTCGTTTTAGTTCTTTGTTGCTGTACGTGTATATGTTTCACATGCCTCGATGGTCTATCCTGTTTGAGTGTGCGTTGGCGTCATCCAAGGATGTATTGAAGATCATATAAGACCGTAAACTGTAGCCGCTATATATATATATATATATATATATATATATATATATATATATATATATATATATGCGTTATTTACGCAGTATGTATATGGTTTAAAGCCAGAAAGAAGAATAACCATCATCTGTATATCTGGCAACGCCACAAGTTAAGCAAAGAGTGAGCAAGATAAAATTGTAACTCTACCCTTTACTTTGAGTTGTTATTCGTGATCGGTTCCAGCACCTGGTTGCATCTGTCTAAAGCAATCCACCCGATCGTTTGACCGTTACAACTAAAACGATCTCCACAAATAAAATTCGAAAACAAATTAGCTTGAATCTTTTGTTTGGCCGCGGACTATGCGGGGTAGCTACTAGTTATTGTTCCATGGTATCATTTTAACGTCGATAAATTTTATTTAAGATTTTAATTCTGGGTTCGCTGGTGCGCCTCTGCGGGTTCTGAATTCTTTTATGATTTTATTATCTCAATTAATGTAAATTATGAGATGGGGTGATACGTGGATTGCGGGTGAAGTAAAAGGATTGAAGAAAGAAGACTTATGAACGGACAGAGTGGAGTAAAGTAAAGTAAAGACACGGGATAAAAAATGAAGATACTTCAAACGGTAGCCGCCGAAATTCGGGAGCAGATTTCGGGTTTAGAAACACGTTCGAGTCATCTACTCTCCGGCAATCTTTACTTGGGAAACGATCTGCCACGGCGGC